TCAAAGAAATTTTAACTCTATGAGGTGAGTTAAAAGATATATAGTACAAGCAATAATTTAATTTAGCAAATTATCATCTCTAACATATTAAATTGGCATAATTAATTTGAACAGTACCATGCTGCTTGTAAATGCAATCTACCTTCATGGTTTCATAAGCATTATTATATGTTAAGAGTTACTAGCTAGTCTTATAATTATATGTATTTCTGTGATATTACAATAAAACTGAAGTCAGCAATGGGGGTTCATGAGAATAATATTGGCATTTAAAAGGGGCCAATGCCTTAAACTAATTTGAGGAAACACTATTTGTGTAAGCAGACTGTTCTCTTACCCTTCTTCCTAATTCCTTAAGCTACTGCACTTGCAGTGGCACCAGCCTAGGGAGAAGGGTTCAGATCAGTGCTTTCTGAACCATTCTAACAGGTGTGTAGTGGTATTTCATTGTGGTTTTAACTTGTATTTCCCTAATGAGTAATGATTTTGACTATCTTTTCATGTATTTATTTGCCATCTGTATATCTGGAATGCATGGCTTCCCACCCAATCCTCAGAGGCCATCAGAAATTCCTCTATCATAGTTCTACTAGACTGGGACAGAGCCTCTTCCACTGCCTAGCTCTCTGATACCATCCAGCTCTCCAAAGCCTTTTCCAAATTTAAGAATTCTTGTGTTTCCTACAAGATGTCACTGTAGTCTGAGTACAGCTCCTATATGACAAGACATCTGACACCTATTATTATATTTTATTACTATTAAAAATAATCAACAATATTAAAGAAAGAAAGATAAGGTTAAAAGCAAATATTAATATTTAAATCTAATAACAATAGATATAAAATTAATTCAAATCTAAGAAGAGAAGCAGTATCCACAATTCATACATTCAAAAATATTCACTGAGAGCCTACAGGCATAGTTTGTGGTGCTGAGAATAAAGCAGTGATAAAGTAGACAAAGTTCCTTTAGCCACTCTATGAAGTGGAAGGAACGCACAAACAATAAACATACAGATATACAACACACTGCAGTATGAAAATGGTGATGGAGAAACAAAGCATAGCAAGAGATATGGGGAGGTAGGGTAGGGCTAATACTTATATGGTTAGGGATATCCTCACTAGCAAGGTGACAAGACAGAATAAGCCAATAGATATTCAGAGGAGGAATATTCCAGGCTGAGCAACAGCAAACACTTCTTAGGCAGCAATGCCTGTTGGCATGTAAGAGGAACTGCAAGGTTTGCTAATTTGAAAAGTAAAATGAACCAGACAACATACTGTTTTAAGACATTTAGTTCTATATGAAGCCACGTATTCAAAGCACAGCCTAAAAACTTAAAAGTTCATAATTTTCTATTTAAATGTGGCAATTCAGCTAAGAAAATTATGACATTTCTTAAAGGAAATAGTTTTCAAAAACCTTGTAAAACCAATACTTATATCTCTCACCAAAAAAAAAAGAAAAACATTATCACAGTCATGTAAGTACAAAGCATATTCTACATTTATCATAACGAAGGCAAAGACAGAGAAAGGTAGGTACTAAGTATCCTTTTTTTTCCTAAGGTTTCTATTAAAAACAGAAAAGCAAAGCACCTTTCTCAGGAAAATGAATCACCTTAGGAAAAACTGAAGAGTATTAGCCTACAATTACTATTTAAAAGCAAAAAAGCCAAGCGTGTTGGCTCGAGCCTTAATCCCCATACTTTGGGAGGTAGCAGTGAGAGGATTGCCTGAGCCCAGGAGTTCAATAGCAGCCTGAGCAACTTGGCAAGGCTCCACAATAAAACAAAAAATTAGCTGGGTGTGGTGGTGCACACCTGTAGTTCCAGCTACTTGCAGGTCTGAGGTGGAAGGATCACCTGAGCCCAGCAGGTCAAGACTATGGTAGCTGTGAATGTGCCACTGTGCTTCAGCCTGAATAACAGAGTGAGATTCCGACTCAAAAAAAAATCATAACTTTTAAAAAGTTAATTTCCATATTTTGTACAGAATTAAGTAAGTAACTGTATAAATTAATAAAATAAGCATCTACAGTCATCCCTCTATGAGCATGAGGGTTTAGTTTCAGGACCTCCCTGCAGATACCAAAATCCACAGATGCTGAAATCCCTTATATAAAATAGCACTGTATTTGTTTATAACCTACTCACATCCTCTCATATACTTTAAATCATCTCTAGATTACTTATAATACAACATAATATAAATACTATGTAAATTATTGTTACACTGTATTTTTTAGGAAATATTGATAAGAAAAAAGTCTAGGAGGGAAGATCTAGGGTCTGCGGTGGTGAGACAATCCAGGAAGATGCCAGTGGAGTGACGGCAGAAAGTGCCTTCAGTTTCAAAAAGTTGCTAGATCAGTGCAAAAACCAGGAACTCGAGGCTTCCTGGAGGAATTGCTACACACCCCCCGGTGTATAGTCAGCTTCTAGTTTTATATTTGCTCCACAATTACATGAATAATGCAAGATACCTTTGGAAAAGAATAACACATGCTATAAAATCTGCACATTCTGAACTTGGGGGAATTTGGTCAGTAGTACAAAGAATATGGCAGAGCGATTTCCCCGGGATCTATACAACCATCAACACTCACAAGTGGTCTGAGACAGTCCAACCAATCATAGAAGCACTCAGAGATGCGACTAGGAGACAAGCCTTCGCTCTAGTCTCCCAAGCATACACCTCAATAGTAGCCAATGACTTTGCAGCCTTTGTTGGACTACCTGTAGACAGATGGGGCCGTGAAAGCATGAGTACCCACTGCTGGCAGTGAAGGGCTTGCAACGAAAATGGGCTTATTTAAGACATTCACAAGAAGGATTAAGTTGTACTGTCTCCTTTCAGAAGAAGGTAAACTTAAGTATGGAATATGTTATATGGGGAAAGGAGCTATTAAGTGATACACTGTGTACAACCATCCTGCAGCCTATTGGTTGCTTATATTTATCTCGTGGTTCAAGTTCTGCTCTTTGGAGAAATACTGAACAAGTCTTTCATTCTTTGTGGGACAGCCTTCTGAGTATTTGAAGTTGTTTGTTGTGTTTTTAGGTTAAGACACCAATTCCCCTTAGTTCATTTATTCTGCATTTGTTCAATAAAGATTTAACTGAATTCTTAAAAAAAAAAGAAAGAAAAAAGCCTATACATGCTCATGTTCAGTACAGAGGCAATCATCTTTTTTGTCCCTTTCTTTTTTTTTTGAGTTGGAGTCTCACTCGGTCACCCAGACTGGAGTGCAGTGGCCGCTCCCGGCCACCGCAGCCTCGACCTGCTGGGCTCTGGCGATCCTTCTGCCTCAGCCTTCCAAGTAGCCAGAATTACAGGCATGCGCACCACGCCCGGCTAATTTTTTTTATTTATTGTAGAGATGAGGTCTCACTGCCCAGGCAGGTCTCGAACCCGTGGGCTCAGGCAATCCACTCACCTCAGCCTCCCAAAGGCGCAGGATTACAGGCTGAGCCACCGAGCCCGGCTTGTCCCTTTCTTTTAGAGATAGGGTCTTATTCTGTTGCCCAGGCTGGAATAAAGTGGTGCAATCATAGCTCGCAATCTCCCACCTCAGCTTCCTGAGTAGCTGGGACTACAGGTGTGTACCACCATGGCCAGTTGTTTTATCAAACATCTTTTTTTTTGAGTTGGAGTCTCACTTCGCCGTCCAGGCTGGAGTACAGTGACATGCTCACAGCCACCCCAGCATTGATCTGCTGGGCTCAGGCGATCCTTCCACCTCAGTTTTCCAAGTAGATGGAACTACAGGCACACGCCACCACCCCTGGCTAATTTTTTGCTTTATTGTAGAGATGAGTCGCCAAGTTGCCCAGGCTGTTCTCGAACCTGTGGGCTCAGGTAATCCCCTCACCTCGGCCTTCCAAAGTGCTGAGATTACAGGTTTGAACCACCACGCCCGGCCTATCAAACATTTTCTATCCATGGGTGATAGAACCGACAAATATAGAACCTATAGATACAGAAGGCTGACTGTATGCTCCAATTCCCATTCAATCGAGTATCTTTATAAAATATTTTCACATCCCTAATTCTCTTTAACCAGGGAACATATGAGTTTGAAGTTATCATTCTAACCAACTATTAAAATATTTAAAAGATGAACATTATCCAAATAAACTTTAAGACACTTGACTTTAATCCAAAATATGAATAAAAAGTCATTAAAGTATATAGAATTTTATGTATGCCACATTTTCTCCCTTGACTCCTTGCTTTTGTTTTACAAATCTCAAAGGTTATATAATAGTTAACACTATTTACTGATATTATTTATGTTTCAAAGTGTCAAGATTTTAATTTTCCAAAAACAAATCTAAAAATTAGAAAATCATAACCAACTTTTATATTAGTTTAAGCAATTGTCTTTTATTGAGATGAGACATGACTAAAATTGAAAAGTCTCAGTGTCAGTGAGGCTGTGGAACAAGTGAAACTCTCCAACACACTGTCAATGGGAGCATAACTTAGGACACACCTATGTCTTGTAGCTTACACACTACAAGCCCTTGCAATATCCCCTCATCTTCAGACTTCTGATCACAGTGCCCACTACTGAAAGCCATATTGTCTTTCTGGCACTTTCAATACTATCATTGCAAACATTCCTTAATGGTTGACCTCTGGCCATTTCAAGCAAACCAAATCCTACTATGGACAAACCAGCTCTGAACACAATAACTCAGTATCTAAACCAAAATACAACACAACTGACAACTATGCCAGTAAAAGAAATTGCATAGAAATAGATCTAGGAGATTTCATGAATTTACTACAGTGTGACAAATGTGACATAAAACATACACAAAAAGTAAGCAAGGAGAAGGACGCAAAGGAATGACTATAGGAACTTTTAAAAGCAACACTTAAATCTGCTCCAGGCTCAAATTATGAAAAAGAGTAAAATAATCTCACCAAATAAAATAATTAAAGGTCTGATATTTACTACAGCAATCTGACTATTTAAAAAAATGCCTTTAAAATGTCATCTGTTTTATGTTTTCCTCTAATTTTATTATTTGGTAAGTCAGTGAACCTAATATAAAATAAAGAAAAGAAAGGAAAGAAAAAAAGAAAAACTTACTGGGATTGAAAACTCCTCAGCCAAGTACTTCAGTGAGGATGCTTCTCTTGCCAAGAATTTGTTTCTTTCTTTGAGATTGCCTTGAAGTTGTGTATCAAACTCCTTTCTGACCACAGAAGCAACAGAGTCAATAATCACAAGTTTAACTCCTTTTGAAATAATTTCTTCTTCCAAAGATTCAATCCTATAAAAACAGAATTTACAAAAATAGTGCACAAATTTAAGATATACTAAATAAAAAGAGTATTGCAAAGATTAATCGACTTAAAAACAACAAAAACTGTTCTTCCCTAAGTTACAGTAATGATTGACAGAATTCAGTAAACAATTTAATGTATTTTCAGTTCTTCTTTGGGAAACAGAACAAGCTGTTTTGCTGTAATTTCAGAAATCGTTGGTTCTCCTATGATAATACTGAGCTCCAATTTTAGGGTAAGACTACTTGTAGTAGCCAGTCTTCAAAATAGTCCCACTTACTCTCACCTCCTAGTATTTCTTATCCTTAAGTAGACCCCTCCCACCCACTACCAGACCTGGTTTGCGAGACCAAAGGCATATGACAAAATGATAGTAGTGTATTTCTGAAGGCAGGTTATAAAAGACTGTGGCTTCCATCTTGAGCACTCTCACTTGCCCACTCTTTCTCAGATCACTCACTCTGGAGGAGACAAGTTGCCATGTTGTGATTTGTGGAGGGGCCCACATGGTGAGGAACAAAGGCCTGTTGCTCACAGTCAGCAAGGATCAGAGGCCTTCCATCAACTACCTGGGTGAGCTTAGAAGCAGACACCCCAGCTCCAGTCAAGCCTTGAGATGACTGCAGCTCTGGCTAACCTCTTGAGCTGCCTTGAGCCAAAAACACTAGCTAAGCCCCTCTCAGACAATTAACCCTCAGAAACTATGTAAGTTAATATATGTTTGCTGTTTTAACGCTGATAAACTTTGAGAATTTGTTAATAGAACAATAGATAATTAATATACTGCTTAAATAATTTATTAGATTTTTAAAATTTTGTTCATTTGATATTTTTTTCATTTTTAAAGAAAGACTTCAAACAAAAAGATGACACAAATAAAAAGAAATACTGAAAAAATTACTTCCCATACTTCTAATATGTAAAGACATTTTTTTACTCAGAAGCTGAAAACATAAACCTTCAAAACATTGCTAAAGTATCAAAAATCTAAAACAGCATACCTTTGCAGTACTTCATCACAGGTGAGTTCCCGATAAAGATGAACTTTACTACTTGTCAAAAGTAATTTTTCTTCAGTGTTAAAGTATCTGGGAAAACGGGATTCTGCTATCTCAACCAGTCTGTGGGGAGAAAAACAGCACAAACAAAAATAGTCTAGGAGGGCGCAGTAGTTCACACCTGTAATCTCAGGACTTAGGGAAGCTAAGGCTGTAGGACTGCTTGAGACCAGGAGTTTGAGACCAGTCTAGGCAACATAGTGAGACGTCATCTCTACAAAAATTTTTTTTTAATTATCTAAGTGTGGTGGTGGGTGCCTGTAGTCCCAGCTACTTGGGAGGCTGAGGCAGAAGGATCACTTGAGCCCAGGAGTTCGAGGCTGTGGAAAGCCGTTCATGCCACTGTACTCCACCCTGGGCAACAGAGTGACACTCCAACTCAAAAAAGAAAAAAAAGGAAAACAGTCAATGATATTTAAAGCCACAATGCTGAACTTCTAATGAATTTGACTTGAGAAACTCATAAGCCTTACCAGTAGAGCAGGTATAGGCAAAATGGCTTAATATTCAGGTTTAGAACGCAAAGCTCCTTTATAAACACTAAACAGAGGTTAGCAGTTGGAGCATAAGGCCAGCAAGGGCTTTTAGGTCTCATCTAATCTTGAGCAAGCAACAATGTCTCTGAGATTTATCTTTCTGGAATTAAATATGTTTTTTGTAAATTATATTTTGTCAAGCAGCTATAAGATATGTTTACTGAATAAGAAAAATGCTTTCACTGTCTTAAACTAAAGAAGTATATTTGAACAAATATGGTATATTATCATTCTAATAATCAGATATCAGTAAGTCTCCATTTCTCCGGAAAAACATGCTTTCTCAATTGAAACTTAATTCATAGCCGGGCTCAGTGGCTCAGCCTGTAATCCCGCGCCTTTGAGAGGCTGAGGTGAGTGGATTGCCTGAGTCTGCGGGTTCCAGACCCGCCTGGGCAGCGAGACCTCATCTCTACAATAAATCAAAAAAATTAGCCAGGCGTGGTAGCATGCGCCTGTAGTTCCAGCTATTTGGAAGGCTGAGGCGGAAGGATCACCGGAGCCCAGCAGGTCGAGGCTGCAGGGGCCGGGAACGGCCACTGCACTCCAGTCTGGGCGACAGAGTGAGACTCCAACTCAAAAAATAAAAATAAAAATAAACTTAATTCACACAAATAAATGCTATGCAACAGTTCCTTGGTAAACAGAAAATTATTATTTAAACAAACCAATCCTATCTAATAGTTTCTTAGCCAACAAAAAATGATTTTTTTTAAACACTGAATTCTGGCCTGAATGCCAGATCTAATACATGAGGCAGGCCACAAACAAGAGAGTAGCAAGTTAAAACAGAGACAACTATCATCACTAGTAGTATAAGACATGGAGAACATTACTAGAAATTTAGAATATTTCTGGCTAAAAATGTTGAAAATGTAAGTCTTTGAGCTTAACTTTCTCCCACTTAAAGTGACATTCTATCTATCAGCCCTAGTATTTAACCATGCCAGGGGGACTGGAAGGAGAGGCTGTAAACATGAAAACCATCCTATATTTTATTTCCATGTAGAGACTCAAAAGCACAAAAGAACAGTGTTTTCATTTCTAAATAGTTGAGTTCTGAGACGAGGCTGGAGACCTTGAAAAGATAAATAAAATAAGTTCCTTACATATGCTATAATCATAAATTAAAGGGAAAAACCTCAAACAGGAAAAGCAAAGAGAAATAAAAGAAAACTAGTCAACAACTTTTTTAACGTATATTTTTGAACAATTTGAAAAGAAAAAACACTAGCTGAACAGGAAAAGGAAGAAATACTTCAGGAGTAAGGAATAGTACCAAAAGAGTATAAAGAATGAGAACAAAATGGATCAAACTGCCACTGAGGAAGAGCGCTCAAGTCAAGCACAGGGATGGAGACTGAAGGAAGAAGGGAGGTAACTGAAAGAAGCCACAAGAAATGAAGTGGCACTTGCATAGGCAGAGCAGGTCAATTTGAGGGTTTGGGGGAAGTGGGTAGATTTTTTGGTGAGAGCAACTATTTGCTGAATTTAGTGCTAGTCAGAGAATTCAGCAAAAAGCACTGGTACTTGGAACTCACAGGTATGGCAAGATCTACCAGAAACATGAAAGATCTTCCAAATCTGGTTGCCCAATTTATTAGGAACTAGATTAAGAGTGCCTAACTCACTGGCAACAACAATTGAACAACTGACAGTTGATTTCTGCCCGCCAGGACTAGACTAGATTTCAACTAGTGGCTTGAGTGGTGAAAGGCTCTGAAATTAATTGCTGCTTTCTTATTCCATGAAGGCCTCTCAAAAGGAATGGTGGTCAATGAGCATACATAAATAACCTTTGTTCATAGCTACTATGCTAAGTAACTGTATTAAATGGCTATTTGCATAAATTGTAATTTTTTTCAAATTCCTCCAAATATTTTTATTTTAGAAAAAAAGCCTAAAAAAATATGAATCAAAAACCAAATATAAATGTAGTCTCCTATATGCCTCACATTAATCCTAATAACTTCTTGTGACAATCTTCACCACAAAGATCTTTTTTGTTTAGGACAAAAAACAGCAAAGAGCCTAACTTTTGCTCCCAGGCATTAACTACATAAAGTTTGAAAATAATGCCATCTGGTGGATATCTTTTTTAAAAAAGTATTCCTTCAAAAGATTCACTTAGCCAGGTGCAGTGGCTCACACTGTAATCCCAGCACTTTGGGAGGCCAAGGCGAGAGGACTGCCTGAGCCCAGGGGTTCCAGAGCAGCACAGACAACTTGGCAAGACCTTGTCTTTATAATAAATAAAAAAAATTAGCCAGGCATGATGATGTATGCACCTATGTTTCCAGCTACTTAGAAGGCTGAGGCTGCAGGATCACTGAGCCCAGCAGATTGAGGCTGAGGTAGCCATGAGCATGTCACTGCACTCCAGTCTGAGAGAAAGAGTGAGACTCTGACTTAAAAAAAAAAAAAATGCTCTTAAGATTCATTCATTCAACAAAATATTCATTGTGGACCTACTCTATGCCAGGCATCACCACCACCAAAAGAAAAAGAGAAACTCTTCCCTTGTGGAGTTTACGTTCTGTGGACAACAAACAAATATTTGTTATGTATTATGTAATAAATGCTCTAAAGAAAAATGAAGGAGGATGAGAGAACAGAATGCGACAGGTGGGGCAAGCACTAATTTATGTATCGTGCTCTCACAAAGCCTCACCAATAAGCTGGTATTTGGGCAAAGGCTTAAAGGAAATGAGAAAATAAACCACGTGGCTATCCCGTGGAAGTGCACACATGAAGGGAGAAGTACAGCAAGTGGAAAGACATCTGGTGTGTTTGAGGAACAACAAAGAGACTGCTGTGGCTGAACATAGCCAGAATAATAGAAAATAAGGTCAGAGAGCTAGCCAAGATCACATATGACCTTTAGCTTTGTGGTGTTTTGTTTAGATTTTATTGTCTATTTAGTAAAATGGGAAGCATGGAAGTAGGGCTGACATGATCTGACTTCTTTTTTAAAGGATTACTCTAGCTGCCAAGCAGAGAAGAAGCTATAGATGGGGAAGGAGTGAACGCCAAGATCAGCTAGTGCGCAGTCCAGATAGGAGCCAATGGTGACCTGACCTAGGGAAGTCACAGCTCAAGGGATTAGAAGTAACCAGACTCAAGTTATAGTTCAAAAGAAGAGAAACAGGACTTCTCAACTAATTGGTTGAGCATCAGGAGGAATGCGATTACCATTTATCGAAGTTTGAGAAAGACTAAATTCAGATCAAGGTACTGGTTACTGATGTTGTTTCTATGTTTTATTTTCTTCATAGGGAAATCGAGAATGCAGTTTTAAACATATCAAGACATCTATGTATGTCAACTTGTCCGTGTTCCATGTTAATAGGCAAATGGATATGAATCTAGAGTTCATGGCAACCTGAGAATTCAGATATCAACCCAGGAGTTAAGAGCCTATAGAAGATTTTAAAGATCATGAGACTAGACGATATCAAGGACTGGGTACAGACACAGGAGAAAAAAAGATCCCAGGACTGAGTTCTGTGATTCTTCAAAGCTTAGAAGTTAAAAAGATGAGGAGGATTCAGCAAAGAAAACTGAGAGGAGGTGGCCAAGGGGGTAAGTATAAAATGAAGAGGGAATGGTTTGAGAAGCCAAGTGAAAAAAATTTTTCAAGAAAAAGAAAAACATCAACTATTTTAAATGCTGCAATTGCACTGGGTAAAATTTTAAAATCAATTCAGTACAGGGCTATTTACTAAAACCTGAGAAGAGTAAATGCAAGAGAGAATGAAAGAAGGGATTTCGACTTCTGCCCACAAAGGATGTCCTATTACAGGAATTGTTGCGATCATAAACAATTAGAAAAGCAAACAAAACATAGAAAACAACAGCTTTCAGACAATAAACAATGAGCAGCTCAAAACTGTGATCCTTGAGAAAAAGGAAACACATAAGGTGAGCCTAAGACTATCTCAGCTTACTGCCAGAGGCAGCAACACAAGACAAGTAAAACCCAAACAGAGCCTGGTAGACGACCTGAGTTGAGAAGATGGGATCAGAGCTTGGGAAGGCTACAGTGGCTAGAATTTACGGGTCAGAGTACAAGAGAAAGCAGGTGCACAGAGTGAGCACTGTGGAGATCTGCAGAGAGTCCACTTGAGACCTAATTTGCATATGTGTGAAAGAAACCTACCCAGATTGAGGGAAGAAAGCATTAGACTAAACATTTCCTAGTGCTCACACAAGGGTGGGATAGTTTGTGTTTTCACAAAAGTGAAGAGTAAAGAGACTTCATTATACACTGGGCATTGAGTTCTCAGAAGGGTTTCACCTTAGCAGTGGAGCTTAATTTAGTTTCAGAATAAAGACTACACTCATGCACCACAGAACGTTTCAATAAATGACGTACCACATATGCAACAGTGGTCCCATGAGAGTATAATAGTGTATTTTTACTCTACCTTTCATATGTTTAGATATGCAAATACCATTGTGTTTCAATTACCTGCCTTATTCAGGGCAGCAACATGCTGTATAGGTTTATAGCCTAGGAGAAATAGG